CAGATGGCGTCTCTAAAAAAGCGACTTTTCGAGTTTCATTCACGAGAGGGCGTGCGTGCATAAATGGCTAATGTGGTGGAACAAGTAAACAGTTTTCTTAAATTGAAGAATATTTAGGTAATAGTTAGTTACTTTAGTGGCCACATGTTTACTAGCGCTTCAGCTATTCGGCTACCTCGCACCAAAAGTCAATATGAATATCACCAAAGAGGTGGAACGTCTCAGTTATCGAAAGTTTCTCAAATCAAAAATGTTCATCACCCCACAAGGGGCGGAAAGTTTTAATTGTCCAGCCCGCTGAAGCTGGCTCGAAAGAAGCAGCGTTAGCATCTCAAAAAGACGAAATGACAAGGAGGGACAGGTGAAAAGCAACAGAAACTAAAACACTCGAACAAGAGGTCGCTTACACGGGACGTCGGCCGCCCGCACGAGAGAGACAGAAAGGGGAGTACAAAGGAGCTTGCCTACATAATAACTTAACCTCACAACTGAGACCTACAGTCAAATAAAAACCTCGAGCTCAGCGGTGGATCGCTCAGGAACAATCCCCCAAGGAGCGTGAAATCCCATAGGACTTCTGACGAGCACAGAAAAGCGTCAGAAGTCCAATTGAAGGGCTTTTAGATAATCGATGCACGAACAGGCTAAGAGTGAGTACGGGCTAAAATTCTTCGAAATTTCGTAGGACAAACATCTCATGGCAGAGAGATCCGCCAATCAAGTTCCACCATTGAAGAACTGGTTGCGAAGCAATTCAGAATCAACTCGCAAATTTGTTTCGTGAAAAGAGTTTCACGAGAGAAATGTTTATAAAATTAACACAGAACTATGCGAAAAACTAGCACTGTTATGCGTACGTCCTACCACGTACGAGGAGAATGGGCCCTAAATTTGCAGAGACCGACGAATTCTCATGAGGAAACGCACGATTTAAATAAACAAACAAACAAATTAATAAACAAGTAAAATCCACTCGTGAGTTTAGCAGACAGAGACTGTTAGAGATCCACAAGGAAACTGAAAGTAGGTTGCAGGACTCGCATAGGATAGAAGAGCGAGCTGCTGGAGAGCGAATGGTTGAGGTCATCAGAGAGAACCCCAAGTATATCTTGAAATATGCTCATCCCAAGGCTAAAATAAAGGCCACAGATGGGCCGCTAAAGAATAATGAGGTCCTCGTTGAAGATGGACAGGACATGTGTGAGCTGCTGAAAGCGCAACCAAAATCAGTTTTCAGTAATTCCCCTCATTCTAGGCAGGAGAATGAAATCAAAGACCTCCTGGAGCTTTCAGTCGGAAGAGGCTGGACAACATTGATGTTGGACCAGAAGACACAGATAGAAGCATCGAAGAACTGGCGACATTTTCAGAAACCAGGGACCGATGGAGTACCGACAGTCCTGCTGAAGAAATGCTTTTTGGAGAACTGAAGGCTCCACTCCCAATCCTCTGGAAAGTCACATTGATGGAGGGAATTTTTCGCTAGAGCTTCAAAGTGAGACTGATAGAGACAATTCGCAAGGAAGGTCCGAGAGACAGATTCCAAAAATTACTGAGCCTGCGAAAGCTCTTGAAGAAGTTGACCATGGGGTGCTCTGCAGAAAGTTAAGGCTGTTAGGGCCAAGAGAAACCCAGTCATAAATCCCCTCGGTCGTATCAGCGCAAGACCGTGATGATTTATTTATATTTAGGTCAAAAAAATGGGCATGCATATCCATGCTGCCGAAACATTTGCGCACGACCGCGAGACGAGCAAAAACATTTGGTATCATCTGGCTCAAATGAGGGCAGATGCACGGTGGTCGTGTCCAACATAACCTACAGGCTCCGGAGAAGGGCGTCCTGCCTATCGACTGCTTAAGGGACGGCGGACGATGAAGGCGGCGCTTCAGCGCGGCCATGAACAAGAAAGTCCTTAACTTGACATAAGGGCAATGATTCAGACGGATAAACCTAATTTTGATTGCAGCTAATTTTTAAAACTTTCGGATATTTTTTGGTTTATGAAGGACCTGCGGTGTACTAGTTTTCTAGATGATGACAATACTCTTCGAGGTCCTGCAATCAATTTTAATAACAACATATATTGTGATCATCCAATAAGGCGGAGATGTGCGAAATTTTTCTGCTCCAGAGTTAATAATTACAATTTAGATCGTAAAATATGTATGAACAGGAATTACTTGCGATTGGAGTAGCAAACTGTAATTATGTCTGAATGGAATAGAAGATTTATGTCCATTACAGAGCAGCAATTCTAAATGAACTTTTAAAGATTAAGTGTCATTTGTCCACCTAGGAAAGGTCTTGTTCGATTAGAAGCCAGTGGGACATTGCTGCTTAGCACTTTGAGTTTCCATACAAAGTGCTCGTTCGATGCTGTCACTGCAACGGACCGGAACTAAGAGTTCACCTTCAGTGAAAAGAACAAGTGCACAATCGTGGTAGTCTTCTGGTTGCACACCCCATGGAAACGACTCCTCCTCGCCTCCAGGCCAACGCCACACGCCGTCCTTTCCGCGGCTGTAGTCGATCGCCAGATATCTGCCAAATTTCATGGCAGCTACGGCAAAAGGGAAAAACCATAAGAGTTTTCACTTATCAACAAGTGGTGTTCGGTTTATTATACAAATTATTTGTATTCATGAATATCTAATGGTTGAAACTTATTTTTATTTTACTTCTTATGGTGAGAACTTACGATCATCCCATAATGGGTTTAAGGTATCAAGAATCCGCCAATCCTCAGAGAGATCCACATATAATTCATGATTTGCGAGAGTCAGACCCAGGGCTTGGCAATGCAATTTTGCTTGACAGAACGAAGATACGTTGGTTGGAAAATCGTAGCAGTTCTTGTGATCGTCGAGGTAAGCGCAGCAGTTTCTTAGAGGCGGCATAATAAACGAGTCTGAAAAGCATGGGAGACGAGTTTCTTAAAAAATAGTCTACATGAAATTCAAATTTATCAACATTTGTGATGATCTTACCTATATCACGAGGAGAGATTTATTTAGATTTATGTATGGAACTCGGGATTATTATTTGACGAAAAATTTAAAAATTCATGGAATTGTTGAATATGCGAAAAGGTTTCTGAAAACGTCTTTGCAATGTACAGTAAATCAATATAACGAAAACGAAATCTCCAGTAAACATCTATGTATTGAAAGATGGCTGAAACATAGAGTTTAGCCGAGATTATGCACAAGATAACACAACAATATTCAGAGATAAAGCGATTCAAACAACTGCACGGAATTATTAGGAATTGTCAGTACATATCCCCCACAAAAATAATCTTGGATAGATGATTGATCAAAGCAAAGAATGATTGTAACGAAAAACGGATTAACAAAGTCCATTGCATGACGCTCACCGGGAAAAACCATGCCGGTCGGCAAGCTCTTGTAGCAGTCGTTGTACTCGAAGAACGGCACGCGGGCGTTCATGAACGTGTTAAAGCCTGCAAAAAGGGATCGTCGTTCAGAAGGCCCTACTATCATAAATAATATGCGTTTAAAAATTAATTTTCAAACGCAAAACTTCTAAAAGTGCCAGTGTCTCCAATGTTACACATGCACCATGAATTTCTTAATTTATTTTTATGTATTAAAAAATTTTATTTTTTAATATATGATTTTTTAATTTGTCAAATTATACATTCTATCAATTGATTGAAGCCTTGTCTCCGACTTTACGCAAGTTTGTAAAATTTCAGATCGATTTGACAGTTAGAAGTGTGCTAAATATCGATTATGAGATTTATAGCAGACAAACAACAAGAAGTGAAGTTAAAGAGAAGTATTGTAATAATAATTGCGAGTTCGCAGTTCCGTCATTCAATATAGATGAGAAACTTACTGAGCTGAACGTAGTCTGCTACCTATACGCCGTTACGTGTACTGAAGCGATTTGTATAGTATGGCCTCTGGACCAACTTAGATATTTTAGTTGAACGAGATAATTGCATAACATCTATGCACTGTCCAATAAAGTTGATATATGTATCTTGGCCGTCAGGAGCAGAGGAAGACGTTTGCATACACATGAAGTTAACGCGTCACACCGAACAGCATGGAATACTAAAATTTAATGATAAAAAATGGCAATTGCAGACCCAGGAGTCACCTTTGATGACGTAAACGACCTCTTGGGGGTTGTCGCAGCTCTGTTCTTCAGTGGAGTTGTAGACGTCGCTGAATGTGGCAAGACATTTGCCTTCGTACTTGACCATCCAGGCCACTGTCAAGCAGACTTGATTTTTTTAGTTTTAGTATACATATTATTTCGGTTATCTACATTATAACTTTGATGATGCCGGCTACAACCCTGATTGTTTTGAGTACTGATGATTGGGCCAAGAGACAACGGCTGAAATCATATGATTCAGTAATCAATAATACGATCCTCCAGACTACTGCAGTAAGACAGGACTTGTTCATGTCTTCATATCTTGTTTTCATATATACAGTCAACAGCAACTAATTTGTTTAGCATTACATTAAAGTTTATGTAGAACAGTATTGAGAAGTGGCTGCATTGCAAAATTAACTGGAATGGAATTTTGAAGCGAGGAAAATGAGTTCTGACATTTGCATTTTACTCAGAGTCACCAATATACCAGACTCACTAAGCTCGGCCGCCTTCAGGATGCACGCTAGGACTCCTGTGTCACCATCAATTGTTAATTTTGTCCATTCTATCGCACGACTTTGAAGAGGGGCGAAGCGATGGTATTCAATATTTTCCGAGATGGTAACAGAATACAGACTTCCCTCGAAGGTGTTGGCTAAGGCTTGGCACTTGGAGAACAAGCGGGATTTCGGTCCACTAGAGTCCATGTCCAGCTCGAACTGTTGGAAAGGTGTCCTATCAATGCAGACTTTTAAATTCTACAATCTAAATCGTATGTAAAGTTAATATATGATTCAAATAATCAAAATAAATGAAGTGATGCATCAGTACAACATGAAGTTTGTATTAAATAATTATTAATTTAACTAATTATGAAATATTTTGGCTTTGCTATTCATATATGACTAATTATAAACTTTGGAATCACAAAAAAAATTATGATCGACTATATAATCGGGCCGGCCAAGCGACCATTATAACATACATAAATCATTGACAATCCCTAAAAGGTTGCTCGCCACTGAAGTCCATATTACAATTCCGACTCTTCAGTTGACTCCCATTCTAAGTTGTTCCGCGTTAACCTGATTCTTTAATTCTCTAACCCGTGTAATCAGGAGATAAATGGACTATTTCATGTTGAGATCTCGTTTGGAACAAAATAATGACATGAACAAATTGATTGTTCCTCATATATCGTGTTTGGATTTGAATAATAATCCGTAATTCAACGATTTCAAGTCCAGAGAAAACTTTTCATTCCTATTGTTAACATCTAAGGCAGTAGTTCCCAAACTTTTTCAGGCTGGCGCCCCCTTTGGCTCCCTAGTGAATTTCTAGCGCCTCCCACAGACATATATCCTTTCTATAAAATTTAGTAAGCTACAACTTTAAAAGATATATGTAGGTTAAACACAAATGTGAATTTCACAAATAGAACCAATTTTAGTGAACTAATATGCTTTTCAGCTGTTTTAACTATTTAAGCACTAGAAACCTAGGACGTCTCGGGCAAATTTACGGCCCGGACTCGTGGCCAGTCTCACGACTAATCTCTAAATTCAATTATCAAGTAATATCACCAAAACTAATGAACTCAGCTCAATAAAACTTGGAACATGTATTCATCAGAACTTAACGGTGATGTTTAGCTTGCGAAAATATTTTAAATATCACCTTCATTCGTGAGTTATATTGCGATACAGGCCAAAATTCGCAGTGATCAAAGAATTTCTTCAAAACTACCTAACAGATTTGAACGAAATTTTGAATATACATTCCTAACTACCAAATGGTGTTTTTTAGATTCAAAAAATTTTTTGATTTTACTGTCGTTTGCGAGATTTATTTCATTTCACCGTCATTCTTGATTTCACTCTTCCTTATTCGCTTTCGTTCGCAAGTTATACAGATATAGGTAGGAAGAACGATCGGCTTTTCTACCGGCTGGTTTAACCAAGAGCCGTTTACGCGAGCAGTATAACTCGCAAACGAAGGCAAAACGAAAAAATTGTAACGAACTAAACATCACCGTTGCCGAGGTTAGGTATTAAAATACTAAATTTCGTTCAAATCTGTTCAGTAGTTTGGAAGAAATTTCTAGATTAGTGCGAATTTAAGCACGTATTGATGTTTAAATCAGGAATGAAACTCGGGAACGAAGGCACAATCGAAAAAAATTTCACGAGATAAACATCACCGTTTGGTAGTTAGGACTGTAAATTCAAAATTTCGTTCGAATCTGTTCAGTAGTTTGGAAGAAGTTCCTTGATCAATGTGAATTTCGGCCCGTATTGCCATATAACTATGGCAAAAACAATTGAAGGCAAAATTCAAAAAATTTTCACGAGCTTTAAATTACCGTAAGGTCCTAATGAATACGTGTACCAAGTTTCATCGAGTTAAGTTCATTAGTTTGAGAGATATTCCTTGATCATTGAATTTGGAAATTGAAAATTATTCCTTGATCATTTGGAATTGAAATATAACACAGTACTCACTGCAGTGAGTGACAGAGAGCGAATTTTCTCGTCGACGAAAACGTGAAGTCACGGACGGACAGACAGGCGGACAGACAGACGGACGGACATCGCGAGCACAATAGTACATTTTTTCCATAAATGAGAAAATGCGCTAAAAACAGATCTGGGTGAAAAAACCATCCCTGGGAGTCATGTGCTGCACGTGTTGTGTACAAATCGTCAAACAAGCGTTCGAACTTCTGACTTCGACTTCGGACTGCCGCCCCCTCTATCGCCCCCCTATCGCCCCGCTTTCACCCTCTTCTTCTTTACCGCCCCCCAAAATCTTTCCATCGCCCTTAGGGGGGCGATATCGCCCACTTTGGGAACCACTGATCTAAGGCATATATAGGAGCACTGGGCTGGTCATTAATTGTTGACGTAGAAGTGAAGGAGGTGCGTGTCGTTATATAAGCGTACTCTCTTGGAGTGTAAATTTCCATGTGTTTTATGTTATGTGTTGGTGAAGACTCATTCAATAGAGTTATATTAGACTAGGATGTTATGAATATTCATGTATTTATTTCTTAAATCAATATTATACCCAATTTTAGTTTTTTTCATATTGCTGTCTTCGATTAGGGCATTGTTAAATTTTCATTAAAGAATTATAATCAAAACTCAAACTTAAACTAGATGAATTACATTGTAAAGAAATTTTTATAAATCTCGACATCTTCATGGGTGTGGATAGAGAGACAATGAGCCTGGAGAATCACCAGTCGCACATGAACAATAGCCTGCCTGGCAATAAGAATCGAGCCCGCAGCAACTCAAGCATATCACCGCACTTTAGTTTCCCTAAATTCTAGCTCAACTGCCAGGCTTCAACCGATTTCGCTTCGGAAATCGTGAGCGATTTATTTTATTCTTTATATTATGTGAATACAAGCTGGGGTAATTCTGTGAACAAATTCGGTGTCTACTTATAGACAGACGACCCAACATATGTAATTTGTAATTTGGGGACGGGAAGTTGCATATTATATGTTGCATATTAAGTTGCATATTATTAAACAACGATATTTTCGCCAAGTCAGGGTGTACCGGGGCCAAAGTCACGTCTCGACGAGGAATCATTTTCTTGCAGGGTGGGATGAGAAGCTATTATTGGGTATATACGTAGAGATTATTCATGGATATATATGTACCGGTTATTTATGGGTATATATGTACCGGTTATTTATGCTCATTTATTAACCGGTTATTTATGGGTATATATGCACCGGTTATTTATGGGTATATATGTACCGGTTATTCATACTTATTTATATATGTACCGGTTATTTATGGGTATATATGTACCGGTTATTTATGCTCATTTATTTACCGGTTATTTATGGGTAATTATGTACCGGTTATTTATGATTCTTTATTAACCGGTTATTTATGGGTATTTTTGTACCAGCCAATTTTGAGTATTTGTATACCAGTGATTAATAGGTATTTATGTACCAGTGATTTATGGGTGTTCTCGGTACACTTGGCCGTTTGTTATCCACATTGATATCTCGGGTACCACGTTGAGTTTGTTCGTACAATCTTTTGCGCTGTTTTATTACTAGTCGGAAATCTCAGCGTTATATAGTTCAATAATATTTTGTGAATCCTGGGCCGGTCTTGAAATGTCCCTCGCCGTTTAATATCAGTAACGCCAGAAATAACGCTTCAATGCGATATTACGTTACATTTTAACCAAGTGCATGACACGCAGTCGGCCTAAGATTCTGGCTACAGGTCAGGTTCAGCCTTCAGGTTCATGCACATGAATAACCGTAATTCCTAATCAAGCCCATAAAACCCTAAATAGAATTATTGGAATATATCCATTAGAAGTTTACTTTCATGCATAAGAAGTATGTACTCAAATAAAGATGTAATCAAACCGAAATCGTTACCTTGTCGAAGACGTCACCAGCTCGAGGGTTAGGAGAGCTGGAGGGGTCGTAGGATACCTGCAAGAAACAGGGAACCAAATTCAGAAATGAAGCGAATACTAGATTGATTTATACAACATTCAATAAATTTTGTGGTTCAATGACGCCACAAAATCTGACTATTTAAAAATGTGACGAACTAGCCTCAGGTATTCAAATTTCTAGTCACATAACCTCGAAAGTTTGGATGGTCTTCTAGTCACGCCTACCAATGACAGGAAAATTTACGACTCTTCCATATTGGCTATCACGCTAAGCATTAGGCTGGACAGGAGTTGAAACGCTGTCACAAGTCATAACAGATAAATTTAATATAGTTGAATAAACGGCAAACTATAGAAGTAACAAATCAGAACGTGTTGTCATTACAAAACGGATGTGGAATAGAGAAATAAAAATCAGCTAATGCGATATTCTGAAACAAATATTTACAAATCGGACAGGACGAGAAAGCTAATAACACATCGAACGCGTGAGGAGAGAGCTGGAGCTAGGAGTTCTTAGGATCAAGTGCGTGATCCTGAAAATGGAAAATTACGAATGAATTCCTACACACGACGACCAAATTATATGTTCACTAATTTCATGGTATTGCCCAATAAATACAAAGTAAATCACTAATATTAGGGTTGAAGTGTGAATAATTTCACACAATCGGTCATGAGGTAAGTGATAGTAAGTTGAATGATAGTTTTAGAGGTTTATTTAATTTATTTAGATGGAATTATTTATAGATGAATGTTGATCAAACAATAATTGTTGGTAGACTTGAAGGAGTCGGCAATGGTCTCGGCAAGGGAATCAAGGACATCAGAAAATGCGGCATGCTATCGTCATCGGCACCATAGGGTTGAAGCTGGTATTGAACAGATGGAGTGATACTGAAAATAAAAAAATGGTGCAGGCTGAATACAGGTGAATGAACAAGTAACCGTTTCAGCTAAATTTCAAAGAATCATGTGAGATTTTAAAACAAATAGTAAAAATTAAATGTTAACACACCTGAGTTATTTGTGGACTTTTTAGAAGAGACAATTCAATGAAAATAGATGAAATCAGATTAAGGAGGATGCTTCAGTTAGGAAATAGTATAGAATAGTTGAAGAGTTTGATTAGAAAGAAGGTTAATGAACAAGTGACGACTTACGCTAGTGACAACACAGCTATTTTCAGTGCCGCCATCTTGAACTTTAAGTAAATTGAATTTTAATTGTTGAAGGTGATTAAGATATTTTAATAGAATTAATTGAATCTGAAGCATCCAGTTGAAAATAAAGCATAGCAGTTAGCAACTAAACAAAGCGAAAGAAACTCTGGCACACAAAATAAAGTAAAGACTCAGCAAAGTTCAAGGGAGATTAGTATAAGTTGAGTATAATTGAAGCGGAGCTGGCGATTATATTATGGCGGTGACGCAATCACTTAACCTTCTCTTCTTGGTTTCGGACCTCTCCTCAACCTGGCGTATTGCTTACTACTCTTCTTTTCGGCTCCCCGCTCTAACCTTCCAAATTACGGAATCGAAATTACCCCAAATTATCTTATTACTACCCCAACTCTTTATTCAAATACAAGCTTAACAATAGAAAATCGACAAAGGGTGTGAAATTTCCCACAAAAGTATTAGGGTTAAAATCTATAAGAGAGGAACTAGTACGTCGGTCGAGATCAGGGGCCATACTGTCGAAACTCGCTAAGTGAACGTAAGTACTGACGCTCTATTTTCTTGTCTATGATTGGTGGATTTTGCTTGCGTGGCCGTCAATGATTGGCTAATGAACTTAATATCTCTTAACTCTTTTTGAAGGTATAGGCCCAGCAGCTTAACTTAACGTCGGCTTACCGGCTGCCAAAAATCTAACATCAGCGCGTTGGTCACGCGCTTGATCTTCGCGGTCTAATTACTAGTAGTAGAATATTTTGAAACTACTGTAATACGAAAAAATAAACAAAGTTTATAAAACTATCAGTTGAAAGAAAGTAGCAATATAGGAAGAACATTGAAATAGTTTGAGATTATGCATGGCTGCTGAACGTGTTAATACGCCAATCTTAACGTATCTTGTTATTACAATAAGCAATGTTATATAATAAGTAATTTTATATAATGACAGAGCTAAATCCGTCCTTATTATTTTCAATGTCGGACGATTAATCATACAATTAAATGATTGCTATTAAGATTCCATAGTTAATAGATTCGTTTTAATTATACAATTAAAACTAATTAATGGAACTAATTATGTCGATCTTTAAGGACGAGAATGATTTGACATACATCGTAAAAGACTCCACAACATTCGAGTCGAAAATCTTATGGGAGGAAATGAATTAATGCAGACGCGTCAAGTTATGTGAACAGTGAACACATATATGAAATAAAAGTTCATGATAGTCAGAAGGCTTGACCTGTCAGAGTTTACAAAAAAAAAAAACTTTTGGTCTATTTTTGGTTAATGCACTGAAAATTTGCCGCGGTAAGTTCAACGTGATTCTTTGCTCGCCAAACACGCGCGCTAACGGACAGTTTCTGCCCACCTGGCAATCGACGTTGAAACAGCGTTTAATTCAACGTCCACACAAGGAAACAGCGTTTAATTCGACGTCATCACAACGAAACAGCGTTTAATTCAACGTCAACACAACGAAACAACGTTTAATTCAACGTAAACACAACGAAACAGCGTTTAATTCAACATCAACGCAACGAAACAGCGTTTAATTCAACGTCAACACAACGAAACAACGTTTAATTCAACGTCGATTCAACAAAACAGCGTTTAATTCAACGTCCACACAAGGAAACAGCGTTTAATTGAACGTCCACACAAGGAAACAGCGTTTAATTCAACGTCCACACAACGAAACAGCGTTTAATTCAACGTCCACACAACAAAACAGCGTTTAATTGAACGTCCACACAAGGAAACAGCGTTTAATTGAACGTCCACACAAGGAAACAGCGTTTAATTCAACGTCCACACAACGAAACAGCGTTTATTTCAACGTCCACACAACGAAACAGCGTTTAATTCAACTTCCACATAACGAAACAGCGTTTAATTCAACGTCCACACAACGAAACAACGTTTAATTCAACGTCCACACAACGAAACAGCGTTTAATTCATCGTCCACACAAACGCTCAAGACATTGAACTCATTATATAAGCTCTACCTGAGGATCGGGTTCTTCGTTGACTAAGGTAGTGAGGGATAAGTAAGACACATAAGTCCAGATAACGTATCTTGTATACGGGGTGGTTATACAGAGTTGCGATACAGAGTTATGAGCTACGGCATCGACCGTCAGGTCGGAGGACTCAAGCTACACGCTACATCGCGGAGCGCTTATCAGCTACTGGGGGCTTTGCTTAAGGTTGCCAGCCCCTTTATAACGTTCGCTTCCGCCCACTACTGCGGTCTTGATCGCGTGATCTATCACGTGTCTATCAGATGTTGACTCGTCCTCAATCTCTATCAGGTCAAGTGAATTGGCCGCTGACATTTAATTCAACGTACACACAACGAAACAGCGTTTAATTCAACGTCCACACAACGAAACAACGTTTAATTCATCGTCCACACAATGAAACAGCGTTTAATTCAACGTCCATACAACGAAACAGCGTTTAATTCAACGTCCACACAACGAAACAGCGTTTAATTCAACGTCCACACAACGAAACAGCGTTTAATTCAACGTCCACACAACGAAACAACGACGACGCGATCTCATGAATAAATGCACACGGAACAGCGACCATGCGTCGGTTTCTATTTTTTCAACCGATTTTTAGCGCATTTTCTCATTTATGAAAAAATGCACTATTGTGCCATGTCCGTCTGCCCATTCGTCCGTCCGTCTGTCTGTCCGTCCGTGACTTCACGTTTTTGTCGACGAAAAAATGCGCTCTCTGTCACTCACTGCAGTGAGTACTGAGTTATATTTTTTCGTTATAAACTAATACGACGGCAACAGAAAAAGAGGACAATGAACAAGTGTTTCGATAGAGTGCATGTGTTGGACCGATGAAGTATTTTTAGAAATTTAGAAAATTCGAATGCAATGATATTTCGTGTATTGAACGTTTCTTTGAAAGTTTTCAAAATAAATGTCATTCGGGCTAACATATGTTATGTTGCATACGCTCAATGTATATTTTTTATATTTTATCCAGAGAAAAAACTTTCAACTTTGAACCATTGACTCGATCGTCAATAAATTTGGGTCGAACCTTTCGTAACATCTGAACAGTATTAATGAAAGTTATATATTTATCGCTGCTTGGTTGAGTAAAGCTAATATAGATCACGCGTCACTTATGTGACTCATAGCCAGACTCATGATCCCGTTCTGGTCATTAAATTGCTGTAAATACTCATGACGAACACTCAATACTCACATCATATTGCTTATATAATCATCACAAATTCGTCATTATATTGCCGTAAATTCGTATTATATTATTATATTAATTATTTTACATTAATTCTAGACAGACTCATACCAGTGAACGAGGAAGCAAAACTTATTACCTGACTATTTAGTTTAGGAATAAATTCGAAAGTTAGAATTAATAATTTTAGCCCAGTCAGAAAGAACAAGGATTAAAATTTGAGTTATTCTCCATACAACAAATACGAATGAATTGCAAAGCATGAATGTTTATCTATTCCAAGTAATTGAAATAAAGCTTACTAAAAACCTAAACTATGATGATATTCTTTGCGATCAGAGCACATGGCTAAAAACCCTGTCAAACTTTAGCGGAGAAAAACGTGCCTGAATGAATGTTACTATATGGCAGATTTGCAAGTGAATACGAAAATTTCGCGTTGAATTTTCACAATGGAGATGTTCTATTCAAATAATAGGTGAACGCCTCTCATCAGGAATCACAGCAGCATTCGTCTGTTAACTTTGATGCGACCGATAATGAGACTGAACACGTAGGCGTGCACTGAACTGAACTTTATCTTCCGAACTTCATTTTAGTTTAAGCTTCAAGTTCAAAG